TTTCTGCACTCCCGGCTAACGTTATAAATCAACTTCTCAGAGGCCAGATTCTTGAACACTTTCAAGTGAGAAGGACCAGCTTATCGCAAACTGTGCTCTCGTTCGCTCCGCGAGCTTTCCATACACCTTGGCATGAAATGATTACAACTCAGTGAATATGAAAAACCGCAGAAGAAGGATCACAGCGACAAGCTTGAACACTTTTTTTCAAATCAGTGTCAGTGAGCAAATTGAGGAAGCCATGGAATTGATGAACAAACCATCAGTGACCTATTGTGTTCATCGCCCTTATCTTGCAGCAAAAAAATGATATGCATGTAGGGAAATCGATTTAAACACGTCTCGTATGCATACTATGTAGCTCCAAAGCGTGACTGTGACATGTTCTTCTCTTTAGTTCATTTTCAGATTGCTAGACTGTATCCATCCTATTTGCTCCAAGGTTCCTTACTGAATGGAGATTCTCATGTCAAAACCTCGGCAATAACCTGACTTCCACCTAGGTCATGCCTTCGAACTCTAGTGGTCTCGAAATAGTTGGCAGATGCAATCTATTCATACCGCCGTGATACTCCCTGATTTCACGTAGTCCTGAAATATTGCAGTTACCATCCCTGCCAACAGGACAAACACTTATTAGGAGAACGTGCGTAGGCGATCGTAGGAAGCAGCCGCTGTCAGAATCTGCATGACTCAGATAATGGAACATTTGCGATGACAACTGAATCCTTTGGGCCGACCTCTGATACAATCTCATGCTGATGCTGAACTCACCAAAGACAAGTGGTATCATTAGGAAAATCCTGCCTTTCACTAGGCACACCATTTTCCCTAATCAGGTCATCCAATGAGTCTCTGCGGCTAATTGATAACTGAACATAATGCCATTCAAATGAACCATTTTCGGTGCCATTTTCAACGACTCTCTTCACTCATCCTCTTCCGTGCAGGCCTTCAGGGCTCAGAAGATGCTTCTAATAACAGTTGGTTTGAAAATATGAATGAAACTGCAATGAACAATATGCTGTTGTTCAGCTTCGTGTACCATCTAGTGGAAACTGTACTCCCAGATCCCTACGTGAGCATTTAGTGAAAGAAACCATTTCGAGATGGGTTTTTTGATTTAGTTGAATGGTTTCCGATTGGATGAGTACAAGTGAAGACACTTATTTATCCCTTCTCGAAAGAATTATGAAACAGCCAATGGTGCATCTGCAGTAAAGTACATAAAAGGAGCCGTTCCAGTGCGGGCAACTGTCTTCACCAGCCCACCCACTCCCACAAACCCAAGACTCCGAACTGTGTAAAATATCTACGCCCATGCATAGTGAACAGCACTTCTTACCAAGGTATGAATATCATAGTTATCTGATAAGTAGGTAAATACTCAATTGAGAAAGAATATTGCCACTTTTTTATTGGGCATAACAAAGGCTATCTTCAATACTACATACACATTCCGGACATAAATCCCTTTTTCGCAATTTCAGATTGAGGTGCTCCGGAATGTACACAAAAAACTCGAAGAATTGAAAACGATACTGAAGTGATTCGATTCTTCGACAAAACTGAGAAGCTTCATACTTACACAAACATCGATTCTGGTTCTGGCGACTTGTGAGAGACCAGTTTATCATGTCATTTCATACCACATCGAAACTCAGCACTTACTTGGTATCCATCCAACTCCTGCATGATACTGCATTTCTTTGCTGAATGTATTTGAATTCGATGACTTTGGGACTTCGATGAATTTGGGTATGATGTCCAGACAAGATTTCCTCTACTGAGGGTTCCCTCTCACTGAATGATCTCTAACCGGTAGAGCTGATGAGACAAGGCGCTACAAGAGGTGGTGGATGGGGGAGTAAGTCGTGTCAAAAGTCGATGAGGTGCTCTTTCACCTTTCTCCTCGCACTTGGTCATGAACATCGATTTCTACGAGCTTGCGCCACGCGATTAAGGAGATGTGGCCTGATATAAGCCCTCTAAAACATCTCATCATGGCAGGAATAAAGGCCTACAGTCTGTTTTTGATCTCCTCGTGTTGCACGCAGGTGTCGCTCCTCTATTCCTTCCGAACCGTTCTTAATTCTTTCTTTCAAGGCTCCGAATTGGGATTGCAAACTCGATAGTTCTCTTCTAATAGGAGATCATCCGGAGAAACTGAGTGGCTTAAGGGCTAGAGAGCAAAATGGCCATTCTATCATGCTAATGAAGTCGGGCAGCCCAAATTATCTTTGACTGGTTCTGCTTATATATGTAATTTTTTAGGTTTGTGTTTTTCCTTACAAGTTGCCAACCCCTTCCGATGTAGGATTTCTCTCTTTGTCTTCGTGTCTTCCACTGGACGCACCACAAATAAAAATGAATAAATAAATAAATTTGTCGTTTAACAGCCTTCGGTACAGCAGTATAGAAATCACAAAAAATACCATGCCCTTCCGCCTACTGCACGCGAATGGTTGCAAAAGGCAATGAATGAGCTTCAACTGCTGGAACATTTTAAGGGTCTTACTTCACTACTCATGCATATTGCGAGAAGAGTTCTTGAAGTTAATTCCACGTGTTACTTAGAATCACTAAATTATTCATAAAAGAAGTTGGTACTCATGATGAAATTAATTTGGATGGAGCACTCTGTAAAAATTGGACTTATTCAGAAGGGATCTGAACGGGGTAATAAGGATCAGTAAGCGGAAGAGATTATGCGTGCACAACAAAAATACAAGAGGCCACCGAAAAAGATTCCTGAAAGGATATGCCCATTGAGGAATAGAAATGTAAAAAACACCTCTTTGGAATCGTACCTTCCTAATATATTATTGAAGTGCCAAGAAGCTCAATTTTCTCACCTAGCATCTGCAGTGAAATTCCAAAATTAGTGGCTTTTCCTTCTTGTCTTATTAAAATTATCAGAGCCAAGATTCCACTCTCAACACGATGCTGTCAAATCCGTGGAAAGCGGCATTTTCTCATCTCACTTCAACTCATAGTGGAGCATTTGATGTGGACGCAGTGAGATCTCTTAAGAGCGTTTTTTAGAAGAACTTTCATCATGGAGAAGGGGGAAGCAGGCATGTCGTGGGTACTTGTTCAGATTTTGGCTCCGAGCTGATGGAATTGAAAGGGACTTTACTACTCACACCTCATCTAAAGCAGTCATTCCTGTAAAAACCTAGATAATTCAATTGAGATCTTACACGTGGCCAGAATGGGAGTAGTTAAGTTTTCAAGTTGTTTTTTTGCAAAAACTCGTACACCTTTCAGAAACTTTAGATCCAAAATTTTGACGACATCATAGACTGTGAGATCTGCGGAAGGCGGCATTTCCTCATCTCGTCTCACATCATAGGAGAGCGTATGATGTGGACAAACTCAGTTTTTGAAGGAGCCGTATTTCTACAAAACCTGAGTAGGAGATGGATGTAGGTAAGCCATGCAGAGAACACCTCTCCGAAATTTCGGATTTGTTCGAGAAGAGTTAAACCCACCTACTCGTCCTCATCTTAAAGTCAGCAGACCTGAATAGAGCGTCTCACTTTACCTTGTTTCATAGGGTAACGCTAAATGTAAGCGAAGTCAGACTTGAAAGAAAGGAGATTAAGATCTCAGTCATTTTGTTGAACACAACGATTTTATTACATCGCTAGGCGACTTGATTTTTATTCCTCCGCTGGACCTTGCACGTGACAGTGCGAGACACACCTGCCCATAGGAGAGAACGTTGTCTGGCAAATAAACTCCCGCTTTGTTAGAAGACTTCCTTGTGCTTTATTTATAGTCATAGCGGATGCCACTCACAAAAGGAATTGTCGTCATCGAAGTCTGAAAGGTGTTCGCTTCTACCAAAAATTTCATGTTCGCGGGATGATTGCAACTTGTTCTCTTTTAACCCCGCAGATAAAATTACAGCCGTTGGTGAAACGTCCTAATATACTTCTTCTTTCAATTTGTTTCCATTACAATGTGCATTTGTAACGTCAAGGTCCTTGAGCAGTATCTCAATTACACCCTTTTCAAAGTTTGGCTCACGTGGTGGCGCTCCTGTAAAAGTCAAAGAAATCACAGAAGTAGATCGCTCTGTCCTTCAGGAGAAAGTGCTCCATTGACACTCTTATGGATGCAGCTGGTCTACTTTGGTTCCAACTTGAAGGCGGTCCAAAGTTGTGTCGTTAGCCGAAGCTTCCGCAACTATGCCTGTATAACACAACATGTCGTCGTGCACGTGAACAACCTTTTTTCGAGAAGATCCTCTTTCCATTATCTCCCGGTCTCTTTTGCTCTTTGCTGATTTAACGACCAGAAACAATGGCCAAGCAGATGACCTATGAATACATGCTTATACGAAGTATTCTCTTTGACCATGTTCAACGACTGATGGGACATGGTGGAATCTTTTTGAATGACCATGACTTTTCTACCTGATAGTGCATCCACTGCTTCAATACTGCCCTCAGCGCCATGGTATCTCTTACCAAATAACCATAATCACTGTTATCGGCTCTCTAGCTTCTTTATGTTGCCGCTTCGTTGAGGAGCTCCGTTTCTCATCTAAAATATTCAACTCAACAAGTTAACTCATTGTTCGTCTTATCGGCAGAAGGCTAATAGCTTAGCAGCTGACACTCTCAAGCAACGCGCACACACTCTTCCCCTTTGTCCAACAGCAATACCATACTCAGTATTACAGAAGTAGGCCCCATCTATGAAAATACATCAGTTTAGAAGTCTGCCCAAGTCGTTCTCGATCCACTCCTTAAATAATTTAATCGATAATGCCATCAGCCTTTTGCCTTGTATCAAAGTCCTCACGTTGACGCAGGCTTGTTCCTCATAAATCGCAGCCACATTAGGTATTTCAGGGGTTCTGCAACAGAGGGCAACAACATTTATGTTTCCTCTAAGATCCATTTTTTCAGTTACATAAAACTACGCTAGTGCTACAGCACGTTCTCGATCCACTCCTTGAATAATTTATCATCTGGAGTTGCGTCTGCGAGCATCCAAATCTTGCATGGACAACCTCCCGTAGCAAAGCAAGCAAGCAAAAAAACTTCGCATGCCTGCCAGAAATCGCTGCTGCCGTTTTCGGTTTGTACGTCTTCAGAAAGATCTCTCCTTTACTGTTTGGAAGAAGATGAGGCAATTCTTCGATATTTCGAGGTAAAATTGCGCACATCCGATCCATTTGTTTCCCTCCGCAATTTCTTGGCGATCAACCACTGCGGTGATCGAACGTGAAGCACTAAGGAAGTTAATAGTTGTAAAGTTCTCTTGCGTCAATCGCAAAATCAGAACCAACGTTAAAAGCATTTCGCCTGTTAAGCTCAAAACACGTGGGTAAAGCTGGAAGAGCACTCACCTCGCTCTAGACAGTGCCTCTCACTTCTGTGGACAAGGTGAACTCCCGCAATTATAATAGAAAGGCAACCTATGACATGCTAGTAGCATAGTGTACCCAAAATGTTATATATACTCTGAGGGGCACATACGCAACGCGTATTGAGATGCTGCTTAATATGGGTGGCGCTCTGGTTTTCATCCGCATCTCCTTTAACTCCAGTAACCCACGATCTTGTGCCTTATAGGTATGTATGCATAGTTATTTACCGGAAGGAATCATGCTCACACTTTCAAGGTCATATGACAATCAAATTCATTAGAAGACTATGGATTTGTCAGTAATACCCATTCGTCTTCGTGAAAGATGCCACTAATTCCCGTGGGTGGGAGGTGATGACATCGACTATTGGGGTAGCCGTCGACATTCACAGAGGTTCTGTAGAAGTATCCTCACCAGTTTGAGGGATCGCTAATCATGAGCACTTCGCATCCAGGTGCATGCCAATCCATGGATGCGTGCTGTCGGTGAATCATGTTGAAAGTCACAGCGGCATAGGGCTATGTTTATTTCGCCAATCGGCACTTTGGCTCAAATGACTCTATTCACGGCTTCTGCTCTGCGCACTTTCCAGTCATGTTTTATAATAAGTAGCATACGACAAAGAGGTAAACCGCGCTTACTCGATCACGCAAACGTATGCCTTCACTTCTTCTTAGAAGGTCTCTTGAACAAATAGCTGCAGCGCTCTTGTAACTTTGCCTTGAAGACACGCGCTACTAAGTCGCGTCGATCAGATGCTGACTGGCCGAAAAAGAGGTCTTCCCTTTGCTGGCTTTCCATAACAAGCCGCAATCGCAATTGCATCCGAGTGTGCCTGCTACATGGCATGTGGACAACCTTGATGAGATGATAATAATAGTACCCGACTTCCGAAAGGTCCATTACTGTCTAAATAATCTCGCAGTACTTCGAACCTCCCACGACTTTCCAAAATTAGCTTACTTCTCTGGTGGAAATTGAGTCGTTTTTGTCAAGTTTTCACGTATATCACGATGGTGAATTGTTGACACAACTCTCATGCATCTAGAATCGCAATGAACACTCACGTATAGAAAACAAGTATGCATAATAGTCTCCTTAAGTAGTGTGCCCTTCCGCTATATTTGTCAAGGTGGGGTCCCAACTACCTTCCTAGTAGAAAAGAAGAGCGGATACGTCGAGGGGACACATATGTCATGTCAATATCGCGTATATATGTAAAGTTTGCTATAGTTTGGTAACTACCTTGGATGAACTCGAACAGGCCAGTAGAACATCAGCATTATCCTTAAGGCACACACAGTGCAATCAAGGCACGA